TGTGGTGGTTCGTGGGGCGGGGGGGGGGGGGGAGTGTTACGCTGTGCCCAGTTTCTTAGGAGAGACCCACGGATCTCATTGGCCCACCTGTGTAATGCGGACTTGAGTCATGAGTAGGAACCTCCCATGTCCTCTGCAAGTCGCAGCCCTGCACCAGAGCATCATGGGAAGAGAGAAAACGTCTCAGCTGTGAGCTGTGGCCACAGGAGAAAGTCGGTTTCGGGTGGGCAGCCCTGTCGATCCGCAGTACGAGAGCAGGATCCAAGTCCGGCAGCACCTTAAAGAGCAGCGAGGCGCCCAGGGTGTAAAGCTTCCGAGAGTTGACGCTCCCTTCGCCAGATATGAAACCAGCCAAGCAACGAGTTGTGTCAGAGAACCGCCCCTCCCATTGCGCACCCCCCCTCACACCCACACTGATTGCCCTCCCCCCACACAAACCAAACAAAATGACACTACATTTTTAATGCACGATTACAAAGGAAACAAAGAATCCAAGGTGAGGGCTGAGGACAGTGCCCGAGTGGGGCCAGAAGAGCACGTGGGCAGGCACGAGGCGGCAACCCGCGAGAACACGGCCACCTGTCAGTTCAAAACCACCCGTCAGTTCAAAGCCACTGACGGAAAGGGAGCCGAACGTTCCTTCGGGTGAGAGCGAGCCATCGGACGAGCAACACGAGGAGAAACGGGAGGACTCTCGCCTTCTGCCTCTGCCGCTGTGATCCCCCCCCCCGGCACCCTCCCTCTCCCTCTCGGAACCTCCGCTCCTCCGGCTAACCAGCCCCCTGCTAGAATGAATCCCACCTTCCAGTTCTGTTGCTCTACACTACTAGTGGCCATTCCCCTTTTGCCCAAGAATGTGGGTTTCCTCACTTAGGCGGGTGGCTGCAGGAAGCTTCATTAGCAACGTGAAGTGGGGGGGGGGGGGGAACCCGTCAGACTGAATAGGCAAATGCGGAAGAACAGCGAGGCAGATGCAGGAGAGTAAAATCACAAGAGGACTGGAACAGAGCCACGTGTGCAAAGGCGAGTGTAGAGCCAGGCCCCTTGACCGGGAGGCCATGAGGAATTTGGCTTCTCTCACAAGTAGCGTTAGAAGGAAAGGGGAGAGGCTGAGAGGTTTTGAGCTAGACTACCGTGTGGAAGTCAGAGGAGAAAACAAACAGCGGCATTCACTGACTCCCTTCTGTCTCCAGGAAAGTGACCTTTCCACCAAGCCTTGGTGCCTTCTGAGAGAGAGAAAGAGAGAGGGAGAGAGAAAGAGCACGCGCCATACCCGCTGTGCATCATGGGAAAGGCACATGACGTGCTGCCTCTCTGAGATCAACTTCCCCCTCTCACGGAACTCTGGGAGGACACAGCTGTCTCCGTGGCCCGGAGTCCCTCCGGACGGCTGACGTTCCTACGGCCGACTTGCTGGGGAGAACCCCACACCCCAAATATCCACTCCCCCCCCCTCCCTGGACCTTGGCCTCAGCCCTCACCCTGCTCCGGTTAAAGTGCTTGCGTTAAGGAAGATGGTGGCGGTGGAGACGACGGGACTGTTGCCCTCAAGGAGAGAGAGACTGAGAGGTGGTCCCCTCCTCGGTCGGCAAGATCTCGATGCTGCTGTCCGGCTGGCTCGGGGAAACGCTGTCCGTCAGCTCCATCTCCTGGGCCTGGCTGGGGGAGAGGGGCTGCGGAGAGCTCGCCGTGTCCGTGCTGGGGGACGGAGACTTGCCCTCGGAAAGGCCCAGAAGCTCCTGGACGTTGCGGGGCAGGTCCTGGTTGGGCGGAGGAGAGAGGAGACGAGAGAGGGGAAAGTTTGACAACGGAAGCAGGTCTTTCGCTTGTGTCCCGCCTGTCTGCCAACGTGTAACTCCAGGCGAGGGATGGGCGGGTCCCCAGCAGGTCTCTCATACCAGCGCCGACCAGACCGGAGGGCGGAGGCCAGGTTCCCAGACCGTGCCTCCTGCCCTCCCCCTCCCCCCTGGCTCCCACCCGAGACCCGGTTCGCAGCATTAGGACGGAAAAGGGGCTCGCCTTTGTGCCTCTTCAGGGAGCGACGGAAGAGGCACCGGCACAGGAGGGTTTTTACTGCCCGCCCTGTTTGCTTCCTGCTTTTGTGCGTTATCACAGGCGTGGCCCCCTGCTAAGGTAACGCTGCCATTAAAGACGAGGGCATACGCTCCTCCCCTTCAGAGGCACGTGGGTGCTGGTGCTGCCCAGACCACAGTCTGACTTTGGTCACGAAAAGGCCACCCCCACTCCCACCCACGCCTCCTGAATCCAGCTCGCATGATCTTTCCCCAGGGGTGCCTGGATCAGTTTTTTGCCATCAAGTCACAGCCGACTTAAGGCAACCCTGTGGGGGGTTTCCAGGCAGGAGGGCTTCAGAGCGGGTTTGCCATCGCCTGCCCCTGCCTCCCGCCTCTGGAATTCCAAGTAGGTCTCCCATCCGAATACTGGCCAGGGGCGACCCCTGCTGAGCTTCTGGGATTTGACAAGATCGGGCCAGCCTGGGCTACCCGAGTCAGGATAAGTCAGGTTTAAGCTGGAGGATTTTGGCTGCTCAAAGGACACATTTGGCACCTGCACCACACTTTCAGAATGAGGCTGCTTCCTCCCCACATCACGGCAGGAACCTGCAGCCCGGCATGCCCACCAAGGCGACATCTTCAACCATTTTATTTACTTCATTTATTCCCCACCTTCTGCCCCCAGGGGGACCCAAAGCGGCTTCTGTCACTCTCTCGTCTCCTCCGTTTCATCCTCACGACAACCCTGTGAGGTAGGTTAGGCTGAGAGTGCGTGTGACTGGCCCAAAGAGACCCAACAAGCTTCCGTGGCAGAGGGGAGATTCAAACCGGGTGCCTCACAGGTCCTAGTCCAGCACTCTATAGCCCTCACACCACACTGGCCCTCAACAGCTGCTACTGCCTGGACTACCGGACATGGCAATGCAAACCCAACACTTAAAAAAAATAAATAGAAACAGTAGATTATTTTTATAATAAATAATTGACATGCCTCTCAATGTCTGTTACTCCTAAATCCCTGACCTGGATAGCCTAGACTAGCCCGATCCCGACATCTTGGGAGCTAAGCAGGGTCGGCTCTGGCTAGTATTTGTATGGGCGACCTCCAAGGAATTCCAGGGTCGTGATGCAGAGCCAGGCAATGGCAAACCACCTCTGAAACGTCTCTCACCTTAAAAAACAAGTCTAGCTCACCACCTAGTGGTGCATAATGCTAAAAGAGCTAGAACTCCTGGCTGCCAGCCAATCTTAGGATCTCCTGGCTATTCTACACACAATGCTATATGATAATTAATTAATTAATTACTCCTAAATTCAATAAAGGATGTTACAAGGAAAAGCTACGGCTCCATGTGGCCAGCAAGTGAGGACTGTCTACAGGGCCAGCTCATGGGCTGCTCTGCGGCATTCAACTTGCCAGCGATGTAAACAGGATGCTGGACTCAACAGACCATTGATCTGATCCTGCCTGGCTGTTATTATGTTCTGGGCACTCCAAAACATTCAAGAGCCAGCATGGTGTAGCGGCTACAGTGTCAAGCTAGGATCCTGAAGCCCCAGATTCGAATCCCCACTCCGTCCTGGAAGCTTGCTGGGGGACCTGGGCCCCACACCCTCTCTGCCTGACCTCCCTTGCTGGATCGCTGGAAAACCATCCTCACTGGAGAGCAACACCAGCTGCTTTGGGTCCCCCCGTGGGGAGAAGGGGGGGTTATCAGCAAAGTCAAACACATACATGAAACAGCACGGTGTTAAAATTAACGTTTCTTCCTATGCGGGGGGCACCTGCAGGGGTCTCTGCCTGGTGGCGCTCCCATTTGAATCTGCCTTCAGCCAGGCAATGTTTTGAAGTCACCGAGACGGAGAGACGGGAAAGGTAAGGTCACCTTCTGTCACATTTTGCCCAATAAGGGGCTTTGGGAAAGTGAGACGCTCAGATTCTC